CTTGAATTCAAGTCCAGCCTGGGCAGCTTACTGAGGACCTGTATCAAAACAAAGAACATAAGGAGGGGAGCCAAAGATACCCGTTGTTGATACAGTTAGCAGAGAGGAATTGTACTCGTGTTGTAGCTTTTCTGTGAATGTGAAGTTATTTCCAAGTGAAAATTTACAGCCATCATGGAGGAACCGTGACCTAACCAGCAGCCTTGGCAGAATCCCACCCAGACAGAGAGGACAAGGCAGCCAAGAGTGCTGTTCCTATGCCTGTTCTCTGCGGCCATCTCGCTCCCAATACCTTCTGTATTCTTTCCCAAAGAAACAGGAATTAGCTGGGTACATTGGTTCACTCCTGTAATCCAAGACTCCATAGGCCGAGGCAGGAAGTTCACCAGGAGTTTGGGGCCAGCCTGGGCTATGTACTATGTTCGAGGCCAGTCTGAACAATACGGGAAAAGCAAAGGAAAGCGGTGTTCACCACCAGGGAGTCTGTGGTCTGTGTTGGCAGTGTCAAAGGAAAGAGAGACCAGGCTAAGGATAGAGACCCACAGGTTCTAGGACTGCATGGGCCACTTCATGAGATCTTGTCTCCAAATAAAATTCTGAAAAACGGCTGCAGGCACAGTTTAGTGGGGGAGCACTTGCCTAGCATGTATGAGGTCTGGGTTCCATCCCCAGACACACACACACACACACACACACACACACACACCCCAAAAGCTGCTTGGAAAAGACAGGCCTGACCACATGAAGGTACAGCATTCTTATCTGTGTGACTGCGTCTTCTGTGTAGTTCAGTTTGGCTGTGACCTGGGCTCTGGAGCACTAGCTGGGCTTGAACTTTCAATGACCCTCCTGCCTCAGCCTCCCAAGTGCTGCTGTTAAAGTGTCTGCCACCATGCTCCGCCAAATGAAAGAATTTCAGTATGTTTGTACTATTGGAGCATATTTTTTGGTCTTGTTTTGTGTTTTTGGTGTTTTGAATTGGACACAGGACCTTCAACTCCATTTATCAAAAAGGTGGAAGTAAAATCAAGGTGTCTGTTCAGCAGTGCTGCCGATGGAACCCAGGGCCTTGCACATGCTACACAAGTTCTCTAGCACTGAGCAGCAGCCCTGTCAGAGGCTGTGTTCTTCATCTCTCGAGTGCTCACACTCAGAGAGCCCCGCTGGACTGCCACTGTTGTGTTGTGAGTGCTTCACACCTCAGAGCTAGCACCAGGCGTCCTCGTGCAGAAAGCACTGGGGTGTTTGTTTCCTGTTTGTTCACCCTGTGGAAGTTGCAATTCATTACCAGGTGGTTTCCGTGAGCAGTGGCCCCAAGGAATGTGGAGAGCACATTACTATGCTGGGTGCCCAACCTGTGGCTTCTTCTAACCGAGGATGGGTGTGCGGTGTCAGGACACAATGCCTTTCTGTGCAGATTAGTGAACTGTTCTCACCACAGCCCTGTACCTCCTGCAGGGAGTCTTTGGCATCAGGGACCAGAAAGTTAAGGGTGAGCGTCTTTGCTGGGAACGTGGCATTCTGCATCATTTGAGGGTTGCTGTCAATGAGACACATTTCAGGCCCACCTGGGCATTGGCTATTCTTCTGGGAGTGGAGATGGGGCCTCACTCACTAGCTTGCATTTTCTTTTAGGAATAAAACCGCATCTCAATACCAGCCTTCATGTAATATTAGGTAGTAGAAGTCTAACTATATTTTGTAAATTTAAATATCTAGCCCCAAAACAGAATTTTATATGTACAATGGTGTCTTTTGTGTCCAAGACGGAAGATGCACTAGAGCAATGGAAAAATAATAGTAAAAGCAAAACATTTTGCGGCACATTTTGGGAGTAAGGTTAGGAAGGTGACCCAGTTATCCTGTGGTAAACGTGGCAGCCACAGCACTGCTGGTGAATATTCTCAGGTCAAACGGGAAATGGGTTATGGATCCAGAGAAACCCAGAATTTCTAATCAATCTCTCAATGAATGCTTCTTGAGGCAGGAGGATTGCTGCAAGTTCGAGGCCAGCTTGGGGTTCATAGCGAGACCCTGCCTCCAAAAAAAGATCAATCTTTGATTTTGTTGATACTTTTTGTTTTCTCGCTCAGTTCTTTGTTCAGGAGGTCAAGAACTTGAAAAAGACCCTCAGTCCTGTAACAGTAGAGAGGCCACAGGTTTCAGTACTGCTTTAAAAAAAAAGAAAAAGGAATAAAATATAGGTAGTGGGTCTTTTAGTGGTATTGTTGCTATGGTGATGACACTTTAACATGAGATTCTAAGTTACAAAATATGGACAAAGAATTATGTAGGAAATGACAGCAAACATTGAGTAGGAAAATATGATTAATGCTGTTTTTTGTAACACCGGGATTGGAACCCAGGACCTCAGATGTCCAAAATAAGCCTTTTTTTTCTTTCTTTTGGTTTCTTCTAAAACAGAGGATGGCTGTGTAGAGACTATGTGGCCCAGGCTAGACTCAAACTCATGGCAATCCTCCACCCTCAGCCTCCTGGAAGCTGGGATCATAGGCAGGGCACCAGCAAATCCAGATTGGTTAGGTAAGCGCTTCAGCATGGAGCTGTATCCTCAGCTATTTTACCTTTAATTTTTAGAGAGTCTTCCTAAATAAATCCCCCAACCTGGTGTCCAAGTGGGGAATCTCCTGGCTCAGCCTCCTGTGCAGCTGGGATTCCAGGTGTGCCCCACTGCAGGTTTTACAGAGGAAGAAACAGAACTTGATTATAGCCATAGTCTCAGGTATGGAGCGAGTGATCTGAGACTGGGCTTCATTCACCCCGGTCTCCATGACTCCGGGGCCGCTGTTGGGTAGAAGCAGAGAGTTTGGTCCAAGACTCTTCTGCTTCTGCTCTGCAGCCCAAAGCTGAATGTTCCGGTTATACTGCAAGTGGTCAGTCAAGACTTAAGAGACAAAAATGAAAGGAAAGCCACTGAGAAGCTACTCACAGAATGGAAGAGGGTGCTTACCAGCACTGCATCTGATGAAACATTAGTATACGGCCCGGTGTGGTGTCCCACACCTGTGATCCCAGCACCTGGGAGGCTGGGACCAGAGCATCACAAACTGCAGCCCAGCCTGAGAAACTCAGCATCTTAGCCAGGCCCTGATTCTAAGTAAGAAATGAAAAGGGCTGGAGATGCAGCTCAGGGCAAAGGGCCTGGATTCAACTCCAGCACCACAGGGGAAATAATCTGAATATAAAATGAAGCCCTATAAACCAACAATTAAAATCCAAATAATCCTTATTAAAGAATGGGCAAAGGACCTGAACAGCTATTTCTGTCAAGATATACAAATGGCCAAGCCACAGGGTAAACTGTCAGCCTCACTCATCTTGAGAGAAATGCAAATCAACTTTATAAGGAAATACAAGGTCACACCCACTGGGATGACTACTACTAGGAAGGCCGACAGAGAGAGAGAGAGAGAGAGAGAGAGAGAGAACATTTGAAAATAGAAAAATGTGCTTGTAGGAAGTGGAGAAATTGGGACACTTGAGCAACTGTTGATGGAAATGTAAAATTTGTGGAAAACATAGTATTGTGGGAGGTCAAAATGTAAAATTTCCTTGAAAACCAGCCAACTCGGTGCTGGTTATGTACCCAAAGAAACTGAAAAGCAGGACCCAGAGGGAATATCTGCAAGGCACCGTTCCCAACACCCGGAGGCGGGAGCGCCTCAGATCCTGAGGGGGCTGTGTCCAGATGTCCCCAGAGCCTCACAAGGCCGTGGGTGGGGCTGTCTCTGAGGAGGCTGAGTCTAGAGTGTGTGACTGATTCATGGTTCAAAACCGGCCTCAAGGGCACCAGGATTAAGGGTGTGAATGCTTCCTGCCCTAAGTAGTCTGGAGAAGACAGAAGGGATAGAAAGAGCTCTGTCTGTCCCTTGGTGCCTTTCCTGTGTTCCCCACCATGAACTGTTGCCCCTCTGCCATGTGCCACCCTGCCTTGGAGCCAGCCGATTATGGACTGACCCCTATAAACTGTAAGCTAAGTATGTATACCTTTCCTCCTTTCACATTGGGTGTCAGGTATTTTGTCTCAACAACGAGAGAAAAGTAACTAACACAGATGCCTACTGAGGGGTGAATGAGTCAAGAAAAGGGAGTTTATGGCTTCGACCGTGCATTATTCAGCCTTAGAAAGGAGTCCTGCCACACACTTCAGCTTGTATAAAGCTAAGGACGTTATTTTTTGGTGAGATAAACAAGTCCCAAGCAAAGAAATGTATTATTTCCTTACATGGAGAAATTAAGTGCACAGAAACAGCAGAATGATGGTTCCCGGGAAGGTGAAGCAGGAGTTGTTTAACTTGAATAGATGCTGAGGTCGGTAAATGTCCTGATTTATTTTATCTCAGTGTTTTCCCGGCCCCACTCCTGCCCAGCGCTATCTGCTCCCCGAGGTGTCCCCGAACACACTGAGGGAGCCACACAGGCAGGGTTAAGACCTGAGCTCCATAACAGTCACCACGACCCTAAAAATAAATTTAAAGACACAGAAAACAATAAACAACCAATTCATGGCTGGTCTGCATTACATAGTGAGACCAGGTCTTCACAAATCAACGGAATAAGCAAAATGTAAGAATAAATCTACTTTCTTAACTTCTCGAGGATCCACCATCCTGCGTTCTCTGCGCAGGGCCGCCTGAAGCCATGCTCTTCCCGGCTGAGAGTTGTGGGGAACCGAGCCTCGCCGGCTGCTTCCTCCCGGACACTGGGAACCCGCTGATGCTGATGCGCGAATGTGGAAACCGCCAAGGCAGGCCTCGGCCCCGCCCTAAGACTCAGAGGAGGCCCCGCAATAGGCCGGCACCTCGGCCCAACCCTCGGCCCAGTCCCCGGCCCAGTCCCCGGCCCAGCCCTAGACCCAG